ATGCCTCGTTTAATAACGTTCTGAACGGCATATTTTGTGGGCTTGTCAAGAGCTTAATCTGGCCGCTGCCGTGAGGAGCCACCATGATCAAGTTTATGTATTATGTCTATATAAGGCCATCTTGCTTTGTTGTTCAAATGTTTGACCTAAATGTGAACTGAACTAAAAGTTGTTAAATCGTTGAACATGAACAAGAACAAGAGTTTAATGCTTTCTCATGACATCATTAAAAATAAGTGCGTAAATTAATGAGTAAAATATTAACCAAGAGCCAGAAAATACAGGAAATTATTTACAATTGTGTAGGTGAAAATATTAATTTAAATCAAGTTATTACCAACAAAGGTCCATTAAGTTAAAAGACTAAAGCAGGATTAATAAATTAACACTCACTCTGGCCATACTGACTATACTGGTAACTTTCAGCTGTTACGACTGGATCCATGCTGTAGCCAGTTGTGCTGTATGTGGTTTGGCAGTAAGAATCAGATGAAGGAAGGCTATCCACCGTCTTAACTGAGACCTCTGCTGAATGCTGACTGCAGTTGGCTTGCCTGATATTGTGTATTGAAGGGTCCAAAGTCCTTGGATGAGGTGACAGTGAGAAGTCACGGTGTGGCTGTGAGGAAATGCTGCATGAGTTACTCAAGACGCTCATAACCTGCAGACAGAAAAGAGAGGTCTTTAGGATTTATTTAATTTTATCCAGCTGTTTGCATCGTGTCATTGACTTCCAGCATTCACACACTCTGGATGAGCATATATAGCAACAGTGGTCAGCTTCTTGCATTAGTTTAACTTTACAACAATCTCTCAAACCATTAATTTATGTATAGACAGTGGAAATGAGAACTCCCAATTGATAGGAAGAAGCCTTCAGTAGAGCCAGACCCAGTGATCTTCTGCAATGACTGGAGTTTTGAGCAGAGACATCATTTAAACAGTTCAACAGCAGCTGCTAATCATATATTCCTTTCAAAAGGACTTTAAAGCTAAATAGAACTTAGGTACACTTTTTCACAATCAAGAGAAAAAAGAGGTCTCTCAGTTCAAGTGGAGATACAGGCTGTGTCCGAGCGGCAGCGTAATCACTATATAGGGCACTATATAATGGTTAAGCTACTTGAAAAATGCAACTTGAAAAGTAGTGATCAACCACGGTCACTAGACGAGAAGATATATCCCAAAATGCTTTGCAAGGATAGTTCTCGTAAAGCATTGCAGGATTTGTTGTCACAGCGACCAGCTGTCACGACAGGTAACAAAAATGGGGCTGGCACCATGCGGGGAGGCAAGGTGAAGTGACCAATGGGGAGCAAAAAGTAGTGATCATCTGTCCCTAGGTAACTGAGTTCACTATAAAGTCCACTACACAGTCGCCGCTCTATATAGTGATGGAGGAATTAAGGGCTTAAGTGCAATTAAGTGCGATTTTTTTCAATCGTTGCACGCATCTGCTGCTCACACTGCACAACTAATCGCAGGGTTTAGTCGTACACTGTGAGCAGCAGCTTACGATTTATGTTCGGCCCGACGCTCTGATGCGATCTACCTGCTCACACTGTATGACTAAAAACTAGTGTTGCGCCGATGCCATTTTTTGGCCCTGATACCGATACCTGGCTGTGCAGTATCGGCCGATACTGATACTATAATAATGTAAAATAATTGCCATCATGGCTTTGTCAAGCTGCTGCCTACCTTTGTGAAGCAGGAAAAAATCTAATACAAACTGAATCCAGTAGAACTTTTTATTGCCTACCAGGAATGGGTGACAATAGTTGAATCTCAAAATGGTATCGGTGAGCTATTTGTTGGTACTCGCTGATACCGATACCACCGTTTTAGGGCAGTATCGGGGCCCCGTCCGATACTGGTATCGGTATCGGTGCAACACGACTAAAAACCACGTCGGACTGAGCTCCGCAGTGAGATGGAGCTGCTCTGTAGCTCTCTATCCTGAAGCCAAACAAATAGAAGAGGGATATTAAGCTCATTATAGTGAACCACGCTGCCTTGGCAATTTGTACAATTTTGTGCTGAGGGTCCTAGAAAGAAAGGGCAACTATGAGTTTGGAAAAAGGACGTGGCTGAGCAGGTGTGGCTGCTGCGTTCCGTTAATTTTACAGACAGAACTGCATTTCAATCATGGCATCCCTGCCATTCTGCTGTGTTTACATCTGAGAGGAAGAATAAAAAGAAGAATCCTTGTTTGCGCCCTGAGCGATTTGACCACGACGGTCGGGAGAAAATCAAACATGTTTGATATTCTCCTGACCTCACGATTCCTGATCAGGAGGTGGTCGTTAGAGGCTGATCGCCGCTCGTAACCCCCTTACACTACATGACTCACGACACACGATCAGGCTGAAAGTTAGCCCGACAGAAAGATTGTCGCATGACTGAAAAATCGCCCTGAAAATCGAACAGTGTACGCCTGGCTTTAATTACACTGTTACGCTGTTGATTTCGTCAACCACGAGCATTTCGTCAACGCCCCTTTTTCCCGTGACGATGACGCACAAAAATTGTTTCCAGAAAATAAAAATATGACGACATAGGTTGTGTGCACCAACCACTGCACCACTACAACACGCCCAGAGGATCAGTACTGTTTACCTCGACTTTCATTCCTTTTATTTGTCCAATACCTAAATCAATTCAAAAAAGGGGAAAAAAGCTTTGCCTCTTTTCCTATAAAATCTGAATCTGATTTTCATGCTATCTGGGATTTCTATCAATCCGCTCCATGACTTGTCATTAAAAAAAAAACCTATAAATTTGTGTTTATCTTTTGGATACATAAATACTTTAGCATCCAAGTTAACAAGATGCCCAGTCAAAGGGCTTAGATTTATTAAATTTAACAGCAGTTAAAAATTTAAAGAAGGCAGTTGTCTCCCTGACAGGATAGGAGAAACACAGCCGACTGCTGGATGATAGACAAAGGACAAAGACATGTCTTGCATTTTTCACCAAAACTAAGGATTGTATTTTTAGTTTTTTAAATTGAAATCAGCTTTCATTATTTTCATTGTTTTTATGTTGAAACTACTAAAAACATAAGTGTATGAAGTAAGGCTACATCATATTTAGAAGGTGGGGGGTTGAAGCTGCAGAAAAGACCCCCATCCACCCCCCCCCTCCACCTCCTTATCTCAGGCCGACAGTTGTCAGGAATCCCAAGCAGAGGCCTGAGTTAGAGAGGCAGACAGGCAGGCCTGGGGATATGGATCAAAGAGACAGAACTGGAGAACCAAAGCGGCTCTGATCCCCTAAAACACCATCCTCACTCGCTGGTTTTTCTTTTTCACCCCACTATCATATAGAAAGTAGAAAAGCTCTCAGGCACCAAGCTAGAATAAACCTTCCTCACACAACATTCCAATGTTGAAGGTAAAATGTATCCTAGTGTGATTTGCTTAGTTCACATATGAGATAATAGTTATTTATAGATATTTTTTATATTACTGTGTTGAAAATGAACCATTTTCCCAGTAGAAAAGATGCAGTTTAAATTGGTGGTTGTAAAGAAGGATAGCTTTAAGCTAAAAGGCTTTAAATGAATTTATCCAAATAAGTTCATTTTGCATCTTTAAGGAGTGCAGCAAGAACTTTAAATGCAAAGCTTAAGCTTTTTGATATGAAATTACACTGACAGTTTAAGAGGCTTTCCTTCTAGCAGTAAAAACACAAATCAATCAACAAGCAATTTAAAAGACTGACTGGTGACAAGACTTTGCCTTTTTTAAGTCCTAGTGCAATGTCACCATTTTGGACTGAATTATTGACCAACAGACCTACTGGAGCCTTGCTGCATTTAATCCTACATGATAATTGGATTTAACACTCATAGCTAGAGCTTTTTTATTTAAACAATTAGTAAAAACAAATGAAATATAAACAGAATTTCTAGAGTTCAGCAAAATAAAAGTTTATATGCTATCAAAACAAAAACTAGTATTAATCAGTGTTTTATAAATGTTTAAGCGTCAAAAGTCTTTAAATATTTACTTCCGTTTCAACCATAGGTTGAAATCACATAAGCTGAAGCATTTCCAGATCGTTGTAGCTCAGTGATATTGCTGAGAAACGGCAGATTCTGTGTGTTACATTTTCTTAAATTGAAGCAGACCAGAAAAGAAGCAAAACAAGGGTGAACATAGGCCAGGCATTTCAGCATTAGTGCCACCTTTAGGAATCAAAGGTAGGTAGGTAGGTAGGTAGCTAACCAAAGGTCAGCCAGAACTGTATTGTGGTAAAGGCACGTTGTTGTAAGTCTATAGGGGCTCTTCTGCAAGTGAGGTAGTGTGAAATGACTTGGATGTGCTTTTACTCTGGTGTCACAAATAGAGCTGCTGCTTTTTAATTAAAGTCAGCATTAGCTAATCCTATTTTTTATTAGTTGGCAAACCTGGAAACCAGCTGGTAAGCTGTACATTTGAGGGCTGGAATGGGAGATGCCAAGCGTGAGTGCGCCTCCTAGCCTGGACCAGATAAACTAAAAAATAACTCCTTTACATTTTATGGGACATATTGAAAGGTTTACATCCATAATGCCAGAAGTTCACCTTGGGAATCTTTTCTCTTCAGAAACCTAATATATATATGAAGCAGAATGTAATGGATAGAATCATAGCTGGGAAATCTGCAGTCATAGCACACTTTGACATAAATGAGAGCTCAATAAAATCAGTATATTAAAAAAAACACGGTTTCCCTTAGTTTCCAAGAATCTATTCCTAGCATTAAAAATGATGACATGTTTAATCCTCTTAAACCTCTTTTTTTTTTTACTTTATCTTTCATTTACATGAAAAAAAGAACACAAGTGAAGGGAACAATGCAGGGAACAGATTAGGTTGTATAATACAGTTGCTTCCTGTTTACATGTAACTATCATAAGTCTTAAAATGTGTGATGATCTCATTTCTTCAACAGTCTTTCTTCTTGGTTGTTATTACCTTATTGCTTGCAGTCATAAATCTTCCATAAATATCATTTGCTCAAAGTTAATCAGACGATTTTCCAAGGAACATAGAAATAGAAGTTTAATGCAATGCCCAGGATTCTAGAATATTTAAGTTTTATTTTCTCTTGGTTTGAGTATATGACAGTTTGCAGATGACCTAATATCAACATTTAAATCATAAAATATGAAAAAACTTTATCTTTTTCAAATGCATATGTCATAATCTGATTTAAAAGTTAGAAACTCTCATTGCACTGACAGATCATCTTATTTTCCTGCTCAGATTAGTGGTGAATACAGTAATTTGCGCTAATGTGAGACGTACA